TTTGTCAAAAAGGCTATCCTTTTCTCATTGTATTTTCTTTGAACGTTTGTTAAAAATCAGTTGGTCATGTTTGTGTGGAGCTATTTGTGGACACTGTTCTGTTCCATTAGATTATATGGTTCCTCCAATTTTCTTTTTTTATATATTTGTTTTTAATAGTTTTGACTATTTTAGATTTTTTGCCTTTCCATATTAGTTTGAAAATAAGCTTGCTATAACAGCAAAAAATGCTGGGATTTTGATTGGAATTGTGTTAAATCTGTAGACCAGTTTGGGAGAGAATTGACATTTTTACTATTTTGAGTTTTCCAGTTTGTGAACTCAGTATATCCTTCTATTCACTTATGTCTTCTTTGATTTACTTCATCAGCATTTTGTAGTTTTTAGCATACAGATCCTGTACATGTTTTATCAGATTTATACCTAAGTTATTTGTTTCTATGGAACTATTATAAGTGGCATTATTTAAAAATTGGGGGGAACGGGCGCCTGGGTGGCTCAGTCGTTCAGCTTCTGCCTTCGGCTCAGGTCATGATCCCAGGGTACTGGAATCGAGCCCCACGTTGGGCTCTCTGCTCAGCGGAGAGCCTGCTTCTCCCTCTCCCACCTGTGTCTCTGTCAAAAAATAAATAAAATCTTTAAAAAAATAAATAAACAAATAAATAAAAATTGGGGGGGGTTCCAAAGTGTTCATTATATAGTATATAGAAATATACTTGTTGTTGACCTTGTATTTTTTGACCTTGATAATTTCATTTATTAGTTCCAGGAGGGGTTTGTTTGTATTCCTTGGAATTTTCTGTGTAGACAGTAATGTCATTTGCAAATAAGGACAGTTTTATTTCTTTTTTTTTTAAAGATTTTATTTATTTTAGAGAGAGAGTGAGAGAGAGAGAGCACATGAGAGGGGGGAGGGTCAGAGGGAGAAGCAGGCTCCCCACTGAGCAGGGAGCCCGATGCGGGACTCGATCCTGGGACTCCAGGATCATGACCTGAGCCGAAAGCAGTCGCTTAACCAACTGAGCCACCCAGGTGCCCAGGACAGTTTTATTTCTTACTTGCCAGTCTTATCAGTCTGGAGTTATCTCTTTTTTAAATGTTTGGTAGATTTCATTACTGAAGACATTTGGGCCTGAAGAATTCCTTTTTTTTTGAAATTTTTAACTACAAATTCAATTTATCTGATACTTCTGTGCAGTTTATCCATATTATTGTATGTGAATGTTTGTAGTTTGTCATTTCAGGGAGTTCTTGAGTGTATGTGCATGGAGTTGCTCACAGTATTTCCTTGTTTTTTTAAATATTTGTGTGATCTATTGTGAAATCTCCCCATTTGTATTGATATTGAGAATTTATGTCTTCTCCCTTTTTGTCTTTGTCAGTCTTGCTGTATTGATCTTTTCAAAGAGCCAGTTTAGGTTTTAATTGATTTTCTGTATTTATTTGTTCTTTTCAATTTCATTGATTCCTGTTCTTTATTATTTCCTTCCTTCTACTTTTTAGTTTGCTCTTCTTTTTCTAGTCTCTTAAGATGAAAGCTTAGATTATTAATTTTAGACTCTTTTTTCTAATGTAAGTATTTAATGCTATAACATCCTCTAAGTAATGCTTTAGCTGTATCCCACAAATTTTGATATGTTGTTTTATTTTTGTTCAGTTCAAAATATTTTGTTTCCCCTCTGACCCATAGATTACTTACAAGTGTGTTTTGAAATTTCGTTCTCTTTGGAGAGTGTCTTGTTATCTTTCTGTTATTGGCATCTAGTCTAATTTTGTTACAGATAACAGCCTTTTGTATGATATAAAATTTTTTGTTTGTAAAGGTTTCTTTTATGATCCAGTGTATTATTTTTCTATTGCTGCTTTAGCAAATTACCACAAACAGTGGTTTAAACAGCACAAATTTATTGTCTTAAGTTCTGGAGCTCAGAAGTTTGAAGCCTGTTTCACTGGGCTATATTCCAGGTATTAGCAAGACTGTTACTTCTTTCTGGAAACTCAGTGGGGTAATTTATTTCCTTGTTCTTGCCACCTTCTAAAGGTGCTCTCACTTTCCTTGACTCCTGGCCCCTTACAGCAGTGGCTTACTAGTTATGCTATTATAGTTAAAGAATGTTTCTTTCTACTATTTTTTTTTACTTTTCTTTAATTGGTGTGTTTAGATCTTTTATATATATATTTTTAAAGATTTTATTTATTTGAGAGAGGGAACACAAGCAGGGGGAGTGGGAGAGGGAGAAGCAGGCTTCCCGCCGAGCAGGGAGCCTGATGTGGGGCTCGATCCCAGGACCCTGGGACCATGACCCGAGCTAAAGGCAGACGCTTAACGACTGAGCCACCCAGGTGCCCCTAGATCTTTTATATTTAATGTAATTATTGATATATTTGAATTTACCTCTACCATTTTCTTATTCTTTTTTTCTATTTGTTGCCCCTGTTTTTATTTCTCTATTTTCCCTTTCCTGCCTTCTTTTGGAGTATTTGATTTGTGTGCCTCTGTGTGTGTGTGTGTGTGTGTGTGTGTGTGTATTGGTTAGGTATTCCATTATAATTTGTTGATTGTGTTTTTACAGTTTGTTTTTTAGTGGTTGCTCTAGAGATTACAATGTACTTTTCAGTTTACTTAGAATCAAAATTTTACTACTTCATGTGGCACATAAAAACTGTATCACCATACAGCCCCTTTACCACCCCACCCACTTTATGCTGTTGTGTTATATATTATGTTGTATGACGTTCATTGAAAGCTCCATCACACAATGTTATACTTTGTGCTTTCAACTATCAAACATATTTAAAGAACTCAAGAGGATGAGAATGGTCTATTATATTTATAGATATTTGACAATTACATTGCTCTTCCTTACTAATGTTTCAAAGTTCCCTTATGGTATTATTTACCATCCTTCGGAAGAATTTCCTTTAGCAGTTCTTTTAAAGCATTCCTGCTGTCAAAACATTCTTTAAGTTTTCCTTCATCTAAGAATGTCTTTATTTCACTTTCATCTCTGAAGGATACTTTTGCTGGATATGGAATTCTGGGTTGACCGTTCTTTTCTTTCAGCCCTTTAAAAATGTTCTACTTCCTTCTGGCCCACATATGTTCTGAAAATAGATTCACAGTCATTTGAACACTTTTCCCCCTTTAAGTAATACTAAATTTTTCTGGCTGCTTTCAAGACTTTTTGTCTAAAGTTTTCTGCAATTTTATTAGTATGTGGCTGGTCATGGATTTCTTTGTATTTATTCTGTTTGGGGAGTTTGCTGAGCTTCTTAAGACTCTAAGTTTGTCTTTCAACAAATTCAACAAATACCAAACTCCCCTCTTGTTGGGATTCTATTGTCACAAATGTGGGATCTGAGGCACTCCTCTTTTTTTATTTTTTTCTAATCTTTTTCTCTGTTGTTCACACTGGGTAATTTCAGTTCATCTATATTAAGTACGTTGACTTCATCTTTTGTCATCTCTATTTTTTTTTTTTTTTAAGATTCTATTTATTTATTTGAGAGAGAGGGAGAGAAAGCAAGTGAGAGAACAGAGTATGAGTGGCAGGGAGGGACAGAGGGAGAGGGAGAAGCAGACTCCTGGGATAGAGCTCCCTGAGCAGGGAGCAGACTCAGGGCTGACTTGGGGCTCTATCCCAGGAGTTGGGGATCATGACCTGAGCTGAAGGCAGACACTTAACGTACTGAGACACCCAGGTGCCCTGTCATCTCTATTCTATTGAGGTCATCTAGTGAGCTTTTAATTTTGGTTATTGATATTTTTTCACTTCTGAGATTTGTATTTGGTTCTTTTTTTATATCTTCTTTTTCTTTTTTTGAGACTTTATATTTTTCCAGTTGTTTCAAGAATGTTTGCTTACTTGGTGAAGCATTCTATAATGGTTTCTCTCATATCTTTAATATCTTCCTCAGATAGTTCCAGTGTCTGTGGTTTCTTGGTGTAGGCATCTTTTCTCATGTAAGTTGAGATTTTCCTGGTTCTTCATTTGCCAAGTAATTTTGGGTTCTATTCTAGACAGTTTGGTATGTTATGATATGTTCAAATCCTATGCAGAATGTTGATATATTTGTTTTAGTAGGCAAATAACCCTGTTAGGCTAAGACTGCAAGTTCCTGTGGGTTGTGTTTACAACATTAGTTCAATTTTCAAAGCCTTTGCCATGCTATTTGGATCTGTCCTACATGTGCACCACACATGGGTCCATCTGGAATTTGGGTAGTGGTCTGTATCATAGTTCAAGTCTCAAAGTGTACGTGTGGTTGTTCAGGTCAGATCCACCCATGGGCTGCTTGAGGGTGAGCCTGGGAGTTCATAAACAACTTGAAGCATTGCTTTCCTAAACTCTTCCTTTTCTGGGATCTCCCAGTAATTTCTGATTCCCTGGGGCTCCCTTTTCTATTCTCTGACCAGAAAGCTTTATTTATTCATCTCTAATGTGCATTCCCTACAACTGTGCCCATATCCAGGGCCAGGTGGCAGAACAACAGAGAAAAAGCAAACAGGGATTCACCACATCCTCTTTGGACCACAGCTCCTCTAATCAGAGAGGAAGGTTTCCCCTTCCTCAGAGTTTTAGGATTCTGCTGGGCCTCTTGCCACAGCTGCTACAGGAGGCTGAGCTTGAGAGAATGGGGGAGGGATTTCCACACTTTCTTTGAGTAGAAGTTCCCTTTCTCTCTCCTAGAGCCAGCACTAGACAGCTTTTACTGAAGTTTTCTCTGTACTAATGTCCACTTCCAGGTTTGGCGCTGTAGGATACCTGAACTGGAGGTTGCATACTGGAAAATGATGTTTCAGTGGTACTTCAAATTCTGGTCTTCCTACCCAATCTGTGCGCTTCCTATTTTAACTTTTCAAAGTTCCGAAGTAGCTCTTCCATGTGTTCTATCCAGGTCTTGTAGCTACCTTGACTTGGAGAGACAGGTTGGAGTATGATTACCCCATTTTATCTGGCACTAGAACCTTACTTAAAAGTTATAAATTTTATTTCTCTAGGAATTTGACAAGAAACTGAATTTTTGATCAAATATATTTTGAGTATGAAACCAGACATGTAACAAAGTTTAGATTCTTTCATTTGATTAAGGTAAGATTGCTTAGTAAAATTAATCATACCCCCACTATATATTTTTAAACTTATATTTTAATGTGTGCTTTACTAACACATTTTACTTTTCAGTCTACCTGAGATTCTGACCTCAAAATATTTTCAGGGTTCCTTTACCATTTAAATAACTAATGTTTCATGTATCAACTTCCAGATACAAGAGGATATAATAACTTCCAGAAATGAGGGAACATGTGATTATTTGTTTATTGAGGGTGTTGTATATTGATAATCAGATCTGTTTGCCTGGTGCAGGAGTCAGCAAATTATGGCCCAAAGGCCAGCACCTGTTTTGGTAAATAGAATTTTATTGGAACATAGTCACACCCATTCATTATATATTGTCTATGGCTCCCTTAACACCACAGTGGCAAAGTTCATTAGTTGCAACAGTGTCTCTGTGGCCTGCAAGCCTAAAATCTAACTCTTTAAGAAAAGTTTGCTGACTGAATCAGAGTATCTTGCTATGCCGTGTAATTATATTTGAATCGATAGCTAACTGATTTTAGTTATCAGTAAGTGTCATCAGGTATGAAAACTAGTGATTATTTTTTAGAAAGAGGTGTTAATTTTCTGAATTGACTTTAAAAATAAGACAAAGCTATGAGCAATTAAATGCCAAGTGCTTATTTCCAGTAGAAGTCTTCATTTTGCTTAGATTTAAAAAAGTAAAAGTTTATGTGATAAAGGTCAAGTTTCTTCCTGTCTAAAAAAATTCACACAAATGTATTTAATATTATTTTCTTTCCTAGGAAATTTAAACAGAACTAGTAACATTTTGGAAGTAATCATTATGTGTTTTAATATCTGTCCTAGTAACACAAGTATTTTAGATTATATAAAGTTTTAATTGAAATAAAATTGATTCTGATATAAAACTGTGTTTTAGTGGCTAAAGTTGGAATTATGTTTCTAAAATTTATATTGAATCACTTATACCTGTTTGTGATTCCTAAAATTATGAGTATTTAAAAAACATAAGATAGAAGGAGAAATCAAAATTTGAGCCTAGACAGTTTATAAAATGTTTGCTAGGCTGCTCAGGAGTCTCTTGACTAAAGAAAAACATATTTTTTACACATGGACATATAAATTAGAATTTCCAAGCAATATCAAATAAAGGAATTTCTCTCTTTTTTTTGAAACAAAATCTGAAAAATAAATTATTTTTTGCTAATTTCTAGGTAATATTAACAAAATAAGTTTCTAAAATCTTTACATCATAACTGTTTGGTTTGAAAAAGTCTCATATCATGCATGAAGCTGAGATACATTTAGCTTTCTAATAGACTTGTGTGAGGTATCTTGTGTTTTTATAAAGTGAATTTAAAACTTTTAAAAATTTACATTTTAAAGGAAGAAATCTAGAAATTTATCTGAAAAATGTATTTTGTATTATTTTATATTGTCGTTTTACATTTAAATCAATATAGATTTAAAGCCTCTCTTTATTAGAGTACTTATATATTTGAATTATGAAAGTTGGATAAAATAAGGCTACAGAAGAATTGATGGGACTCTTGGTAGCTTGAACATGTGAATGAGGCCACCTTAGTATTAGCATGTTTAGCTGTGGTCTAAACTGAATTGGTTTGGAAAGTACCTATCTGATTCATAGACTGAGACTTATGAATAAGAATTCCCTTTTAAATGATGGATGATATAAGAAAGTACTGCTAAAGCTTTTTGCTTCTATCAAAATCATATCTGAAGATGTCTTTTCTTTTTTAACTTCCCTGATTTATGTTTTGTTGTGGTCCTTCCATACAAACTTAGATTAGTTAGTTTTTTCTAGGTCAACATAAAATATTTCATTTTAAAAATCAGCTACTGGGGGCGCCTGGGTGGCTCAGTCATTGAGCGTCTGCCTTCGGCTCAGGTCATGATCTAAGGGTCCTGGAATCGAGCCCCACATTGGGCTCCCTGCTTGGCGGGAAGCCTGCTTCTCCCTCCCCCACTCCCCCTGCTTGTGTTCCCTCTCTCACTGTCTCTCTCTCTGTCAGATAAATAAATAAAATCTTTAAAAAAAAAATCGGCTACTGAGTCATTGCTAATTTGACATGATTACTGCAGTTAGATATGTGTGTTGAAGACAGACAGATTTTCTTCTTTAAATTGAATATGCTTCCTGCTTTTTAGAGTTATATATGTCTGGATAAGAAAGGGCTTGGGTAGATTAGTTAGGAATTTTTTTTGAATGTCAATGTCTTAGTCCATTTGGGCTGTTATAACAAAATAACAAAAGCTGGATAGCTTATAAACTATAGAATTTCAAGATCAGTGAACTTGAACTGGGAAGTTCAAGATCAGTGCCAGCAGATTTAGTTTCTAGTAAGGACTTGCTTTCTGGTTCATAGACATCTGTTTTTTTGCTGTGTCTCACATAGTGGAGGGGGTGAGGGAACTCTCTGGGGCCTCCTTTATAAGGGCACACTAATCTCATTCATGAGGGCTCTCCCCTCATGACCTGATCACCTCCCAAAGGCCCCACCTCCAAGTACCATCACATTGGGGGTTAGGATTTCAATATGAATTTCTGGGGGACACATACATTCAGTCAGATTTTTAATTTCATAGACTCTGATCAATGTCATTGTATAGTCTTTAGGGCAGTAAAGAAACTAATACGGAAATGAGCCTTTAAGGTTTATCCTCACAGGAGATAATGCAAAAACATGTTACTTTAATTGATCACTATGGGATTTTCTTAAACTTTAAGTGATATATTTTTTAAGTCCTTTCTTTATACATATTTTATTTTCTACCAAATAAACTCTTAAATTTTATTCACAAAATTTGCTATCAAGGAAGGTATACATACTTTTGAAAGAGAGGAATAAAGGCTATTATTTTTTTTAAGATTCCCCCTTTTTAAAACAACTTGTTACTTTAGAATAATTTTAGATGTAGAAATACGTTCTAAAGATAGTATATAGTTTTTCTATATTATTCACTCAGCTTTCCCTAATGTTAACATATTATGCAGCCTTGGTACAGTGATCAAAACTAATCAACATAGACTACTAAACTATGGACTTGATTAGAATTTCACCAATGTTTCCACTAATGTTCTTTTTCCAGGATCCCACATTACATTTATTTGTTACATTTCTTTCGTTTCCTCCAATCATTGACAGTTCCTCAGTCTTTGCTTATCTTTCATTCACACTTTGGAAGATGACTGGTCAGGTAGACCTTTGTAGAATGTCATTCAGTGTGGTTTTCTCATAGTTAAAATGAACTTAGAGATTTTGGAAAAGAATGCCAGAGAGGTGATGTGTCCTTCTCAGCATATGATAATCAGGGGTTATGTGATGTCAGCATGTCTCATTACTGGTGATTTTATTAACCTTTATCACCTGGATTTTTCCACTGTAAAGTTACTGTTTTTCCCTTAAATATTTTGGTGAAAATAGTTTGAAGTTACACAAATATCCTGTTTCTTTTTAAAAATTTGGCCACTAATTTTAGCATTGATTGGTGGATCTTGCCTGAAGCAGTGATTAGTCTGATGTTTTGGTGGCGATTTATTTATTTATTTATCTATCTATTTATTTATTTATTTATCTATTCCACTCCTTCTACATTTATTATAATTCTGTAAGAAAAAGTTGTCCTTCCCCACATTGATTTATTTTATTTAATCATTTATTTATATCCATACACACTAATGGATTTTTATTTTATTCTCTTGATTAGGATCAGTACTAGTATTGGTATCTCCCAAAGCCTAGCAAGTACTTATGCCTTTAGTTAGCGTTTCCCAGAATTTCGTATAAATGGACTCTCATAATGTGTAGCCTCTTAGGACCTGTTTCTTTCATTTCACAAAATGCATTTAATATTCATTTATCTATTGTATAAATCACTAGTTTGTTCCTTTTTATTGCCATGTAGCATTCCATTGTAGCATACCAGAGTTTGTTTATCCATTTACCTGTTGAGAGACATCTGGGCTGTTTCCAGCTTTGGGCAATTATGAATAAAGCTATTACATTTACATGAAGGTTTTTTTTTTTTTTTTTTGTATTTTTTGTGTGTGGGTTTTGGTTTTGATTTTGGTTTTGTTTTCACTTGGGTAAATACTTAGGAGTGGGATTATGGACTTTAAGTATATATTCAGTTTTCTAAGAAACTGCCTAACTTTTTTCTAAGTGGTTATACAATTTTGCATTCTTACCACCAGAGTATGAGGGTTCCTATTGCTCTGTATCCTCTTCAACCCATGGGTATTATCAGTTTGTTTTTGTCTTTTCTGTTCTTTTTTTTTTTAAAGATTTTATTTATTTCAGAGAGAGAATGAGAGATAGAAAGCACGAGAGGGAAGAGGGTCAGAGGGAGAAGCAGACTCCCTGCTGAGCAGGAAGCCCGATGTGGGACTCGATCCCGGGACTCCAGGATCATGACCTGAGCCAAAGGCAGTCGCTTAACCAACTGAGCCACCCAGGCGCCCTTGTCTTTTCTGTTCTAATATATGTGTAGTGGTTTTAATTTGTATTTCTTAAATGACTAATAATGTTAATATGCAATCCATGTTTGTGAATGGGTAGCTGGTCCCTTTTATTTCTCTTGATTTCCTCCTTTTTTGATCAACCAGGTGGGTAGAGTCTTCTCCAATATAGTTTTGATTGAATTAGTTGCTATCATCTCTATTTAGCTATATTTTATAATAAATACACATTTCCATATATCAGTTTTGGCTTTCTGTACTTATTATAGTGGAATGAATATAAGTTTTTATATAGCTGAGTATTTGAATGATAATTTCATTATTGTCTAAAGCTAGATTGCTTTATAAGAATCTATTCATAGATTACATCTGTGACTAAATACACTTGCAAGGCAAGGGAAAATGTAAGAAATTCTGTTAGTGCTAGAGGTTGCTTTGGATTGACAAATGTCACTGTAGAAAAAGAAATCTTAGGGTCTTTGGTGAGATCTTTTTCCCCTTTGACTATCAAATGAACAAGGAAACCTGA